TACATGCGTGCGAATTCGACATATAATTTACGAAATTTTGTGTTACTCAGTCATTTATGGGAGGGGGCTGTACGTGTCTTCAGATCAGTATCATTTAGGGATAACCATAGAGTGTATCGAAATGTGAAATCACTATCACCGTCAATTTTACAAGCAGACCCTGTTTGAAATATTTTATTAGGGATATGTTGTTCACAAGTTGATATAACTGTAGATATGTTTGCTATCATGGTTGATGAATTTGACGATGAGATGTCCTGCAAAAATGTCACCATTTATATTATTTGCGCCTATATCTTTACGATGTCTCCATCATATGGCTCTTTACAATCATACGATATTACTGTACATATTTTTAATCGTATGACTCTTTGCAATCATACAACTGTTCAATCAATTCCATTTTGAGGCATAATTGATTTAAACAGCAGTTTAACAACAAAGGCTGTTGCACGTTTAGATCGTATGATTACTTTTGAAATGTTATAACCAAATAAACTATTGTTGTAACAGTGAGCGTATGTGCATAAGACATTAGACGTATTAGTATCGTTGGTTTAAACAACATTTTAACCACAATGGCTGTTGTATGTTTAGATCGTATGATTTACTTTTGAACTATTGTGTATGTGCATAAAATATATTCAGATTAAACCCAAAATGCTAGAAATAGGGTACTTTAAGTTTATTAATTAGTCTGCACACATTCAATACACGACAATTTATTTTTCGATGCAATAATTGAGTAAACTTTGACATTTACATAGCTAACATATAAGGGTTATCTATTTTAGGAAGCTATCGAGTCCTTTAGGCAGATACACACTCTCATCCTTCACTACTCTAAGAAACCCACCTCGATTCTTTATCGCATCGCGGATTTCTTCACAGATTTCCTGAAATTTATTTCGAATTTCGTCGCGAATTTCTTGACGTATTTCCTCACGAAACTTTTCTGGGTCGAACTTTTCGTCTGGTTTAAAATTGGTTTTTATTAAGCTACCGTCTCTGCTAGGTTCAATATAAGAAATAATTCAGGATGAAATATAATTACCCGTATCTAAGTTTTTTCAACGATTTCGCCTTCGCCAGATTCGCTATCATAACATTTTTTTTTTTTTGAGGGGGGTAGAAGTCCAAAATTTCGGCTCCTTGTTGAGAGGTTGACCTATCGTATATATCGATCGAGCACAGATCGATTTTCCGTTTTAATTTGATCCATTAAGCGAAAATATAGGGTTGCCAGACAAAATTGTTTACGAAATAATACTCGATCGATTATACCTGTAGCTCTCGGGTTATCTCTAACTTTTGAGCATTTTCAATGTGTATCCAGAAAGTCTTGTCGGCTTTTTCATTCTTAAGCTGTAAGAAGAAAAAGAATATCAAAGTGCATTTTGCGAGGCGGGCGACAGAAGGCAATATGAGCAATTTGATTTATTATCAAAGTATTAAAAATAATACGCTCATACAGGGCAATCCTACTCCGAAGTTATATCACTGGGCAATCCAGCTCGGGCCGTCTAGTACTATATTATAGCAACAACATAGAATCACGAATTTACAAGACATTACGTAACCTTGTGAACAATCTTCTCGTTTGCAATCAGGTTTCTGACAACAGTCATAAAATTTTTCTTCCAAAATGCGTTGCGATCAATCCACTTATTATGACTACGACGTTCTGCGATTAATATTGTTTCATTCTTTGACAAAAGGTCGTTATATATTATATGACCATTTGTTGGGAGATGTAGTCTCCAAATATTCTTCGATTGCTATTAACAAATCGTGTTAAACAAAACATCAAGAAGAGAGAAATTGCAAGACTCGCTTGACATGAGGTTATTAACCCAAATTGAACTAGTTCCCAAATTGGGTCGCCAGTCATCTGATTGGGGGTACGATATCCAAAATGAGAACTTGGTATAACGCTAGCTACCATATAGACGAGCGCGTCCAAAACAGTTATTTTAAATACGGTTTGTTCTCGCAATGGATCTATCATGGTGCCCAGCCTGTGACAGACAGTTTTTTGTTACGAATTTATTATACTGTAGCGAGGAATGTCGACTTAAAGACGCTTTATCTACATCACTTTGCCCAACGCTACCCCACTATGGTTTCTCACGATGTTCCTCTCCGAAATTTGTTCACTCTCCACTTTCGTCTCTCTCTTGGTCTTCATTACAAAACCCGCCTGCATCACTACCATGTGATCCATTAAAGATCGATAATCATTTTCAAAGAGATGAACTGTCAACTTCGCCCGAGGGTTTGCTACTGAGTCGTCGTAACGCAATTGGATGCAGTGCACACCGAGAAGCAGCAGACGTATCTTTTACTTTAATCAATGCGAGTGCTGCTACTACTACTACCGAGACGACGTTTACTACAATAACTGTTGAGACAAGAGAAATACGACCTGTCGGATTAGCCGGTCTGCCGAATAGAAAGAAACGATCGTTCATTGGAAGTGCCTGGAGCATGTTCTTCTCCTAGAATAGCAAGAATAGAATTTCATAGAATAGAGTTGTGTTATACATGTATTGCTAAAGGGAAATGACTTGGCAAGGTTGCATAATGTTATATTAAGCATGATTTGTAATTTTTTTCTTTTCCATAACTGTAAATACTAGATTGAGATGTGATTGATTGATTTCTAGTAACTGGAAGATTATTGATACATTGAAATCTCACTAAAATTGTCTCGAATACAGTATATTCTACAGATTTGTTTTTAGGAACCAGTGTCTTCCCCACTTTGCCATATACGGCAAGAACCATCATGGAATTGCACTTCTGTGCTTATAACTGTAAAATGCTGCTATCTCCTGCGTGCATTTAATAATACCATGCAAATGGGTTCCATATTATGATTAGTGGAATTAATAATTGGACGATTATAATTAATTATTACAATCAGGATATCCGTATACAATGTGCTGGATTGAATTAAAATATGTAAAGCTGCTCACGTTTATTACAACGTAAAGTATAAATACAAGGCAAAATAACATGTATAATTCATTCTGTATTAAAAACGTCTGTTTGAAATTTGTTTGCCGTGCTAACATGTTTGCTCAGTAAAATTTAATGCAAATATAAACATGATTCCCCAAGCTGCAAGAGTGTGGGATTACTTGTTCTAAATATGAGTTATGCCTCATGATATTAATGTATTTGTTTGATGGCTTGCAGCTGCTCGAACGATTGAATATAGTCTTTTAGTTGGATTGCACGACACAACACGTGGAAATAAGGATAATATTCGAGAAGATATTTAACCATGTTTCAGGTATAAACTTGCTTTAATATTATTAATCGAGCTTGCAATAGTGTAAAATGAGTCTAAAATATTCTATTATAATATCACGATAGCCGGATACGAAGAAATTCAACCGAGTAACGTCACATCATAAACGGCAGTAAAAACAACGGATCTAAAGCTGGGCCCTTCATCTACAAAACTCAAATTTTTTGTGTGTTCAGACGTAGTCATTGTATCTTTTCCTCGGATGATGGTGGTTTTGCAGCAACTGATGAAGACAATTTGCTTAAGAACTACATTTATTATTTGGAAATTATCGACATTTTAACACCGTATAATTTGTAAAGAAAATAGAACATACATGGAAGTCACTAAGCTATGGCAAGTTATATTACATTTACATCTGTTTGTTTCCATTTCCCTTTATTCTCTGCCCCTACTGACACCAAGTTTTTTCCGAATTCGATAACTGCAGAATGGCATATCAGCAGTAGAACCGCGCGAATATGGCAAGAGATTCCTGAATTTTATCCAAACTTTGTTGCAATATGCAACATCGTCTCAACAATCGTAGCGAACTTTCTTTATGACAATACAATAATAAATATTATAAATAAATAAATAAATAAATAAACAACGATAGAATCTTTATACACTGGGTAAAGTATTCAAAGCTTTACAAAAACCGAGCTATATTATTATCACCTAACGAAAAGTCTTCATTGCCAGTATTGCTGTCATAGCCAACTCGTCTGTATTCTCATCTGTAAGCATCCACAATTGGTGCATTCTTCCAAATCGCATTATCTGTCCAAGTGGGGTAGATGTGACGTATTCCTGGCCATAGTACTAAGCCATAGACAGCATTTTAACACCAGCTTTGAATTCCCAAGCCGTGTAACATTCTTCTGATTATCCAATTAGAGATTTCTGGAATTATATTTGGTGGGACAGCATACTTTCCCGAATTAGAAATATATCCACGAGGTGCAATGGATTTTGACAATAACTCTCTAAATGCAGACATTGTGGTCCTTGCGTTGATTTTTCTCACTTTCCAAATTTGGGTTTGATGCCTAATTTTAAACAATAAAAATCGGGAACAAAATGGACACAATAACAAGATCAGGTGTACATTTTGAAAAAAGGAAACGAATAATATGCATAAAAAAAAAAGACTCCTACAGATATTAAGGTAAGTAGCAGCAGAGAATAAACATAGCGGTATTAATTTTTTATTTTTGCTCTTGAATTTAAGCTCAAATGTGCCAGGGGCACAGAATAAGTAAGAACAAAAAATGAGAACATGAAATGAAAAGGACTGTATGGCCATACTAGTTCAATAATAAAGGTCGTAATGTCAGGCGTGTAAAAAATCAGTCAAACCATTTAAATTTTATTAAGCGCTTTAATTCAGGCTATTTTAACCAAACCCATATTTCAAAGACTTAAGCATTACTATTACTACAAAGTAGCCAGAGAAAGGGAGTGTGCAATGTAACACAAGTTTAGATTTGCGCTTGAAGATTTGCGAGTAGTTTGCACACTTGGAAAAATTTTTTAATTCAAACTATGTCGTTGGCTGTTAATAATCCAGCAATTGACAACTTGATTCAGTCCTCCTTGGAAAGTGGATATAACATAAGACTTCTATGGATTTCTTTCTCGCAAATTACTGACGTAAAACCAAGTCAAATTGACAACGTTCATTACGCTACTCGCAAATACACACCGGCCAATGGTAGAGACGACGAAAGCATGATAATGCTTTCATTACTTGGAAATGATGAGATATGCACACCAACGTTTGTGAGTGAGTTTGCCAGAATATACTCACTTCCAACACACAAGTACAATAATGATGTCAGTCACTTTAGAAGATATTCCACCTGGCTTGAGGATCGCAACAAACTCATAAAGGGTTTTACCAAGTATAAAGACAACTATTACATGGTTGCCAATAACCTCTTTTACCACTGTTATTCTCGATATGGCTTCTGGGAATACTCCGATGTAGTCCCGTGTGGTGCATTTGCGGGTATAAACAATTATCCGATGGATGGACTAGCAACAATAAGCAACTCGATGAGTTTATTAAGAAATCTCAATTACAAACAAACTCACCAAATCATGCTTATTTGGAATGGATTCCATTTGATTGTGCACGCTTATATGGTCTACCTACTCGTGTACTTGTTACATTGACTCCGCTTGAAATAACAGATGAGACAGATTATGACGAGGTAAACTATTACTCATGCGTCATGTTTATTGAATAGTTTAAATATTTATTGACTTGTTATTATGTATCGTTTCCACTAGTTATGTGATGATCATCAAGATATTCTTACCACAGATGTTTGGGTTACCATCGGATTCACATATAATAAATGGGGAGAGTATTGTCTAATAAAATGTGAGGATGGATTATGTCTGGTGTGTACATGGCAATTAGTACCCAAGATGGATGCATTCTGTTATTGGTGTAAAGCACCACGATCTATCGATTGGACTACGGGCAACAAGTCATTGGATTCATTTATTACAGAGTCGTGGAGTCTGTGAAGAATGAATATGATGTATATATACAATGGATAGAGTATTCCCTATTGATGAACGTACAAAAAATGACATCATTACGCCATGGATGCACACATATAGAGAATGGACAACAAATGAATCGACACGTGTGGCACTCAAAAAGATAGGTGACAAAGGGGACGACCAGTCATTTGATTTTCATCAGGTAAATTCTTTCACGTGTGAAATGCAATTGATATGTGCGTATCGCGCGTTTAACATCGATTATTGTTCAAATAGTTAACTCAGGAATACCCAGAGATATTAACACCAGATAATATGGAATCACTCAGGAGCCATCTACTCGGGAATATTATTTAGTTTTCTACCATGAAATACGTCCGATATTGGACAGGCTTATACGACGTTACAAAGATGTTAAGTACATGCAGTATAGTGACTTTGATGAACTCAAGGAGATCGGATCTGGTGGTTACGGAACAGTTTATACTACCGAATATAAAGGAAGCGAGTATTATTGGCGAACTGTTGTACTCAAACGGTTTAAGAGTTTTGATGAAACGCCGGCATTGTTCATTTCCGAGGTAAACAATTATTGGTAGTATTAATTAAAGTGATATTTAATTTGACACTGTATTTATTTTTATTTAATAGTTCAGAAATCATGCCAAGTGTGCAACTTATAGTTTCCTTAAAATTTATGGAGTCACACAAGACCCAAAAACAAAAGAATACATGATTGTTATGCAATATGCCAACAATGGTAGTCTTTTGTCTTATTTGCATCAAAATATTAACAAATTGACGTGGAGGATGAAATTAAAACATTTGGTTGGTATTGCAAATTATCTGAATAATATCCATTGCATGGGATTAGTGCATTGTGATCTTCATGGCGGAAACATAGTTTTGCATGATGACGGCGAGTTGAAGACACGATCATTCATATGCGATCTTGGTCTCTCACGATCAGTGAATTCGCGCGAGTCAAATTCAGCCATTCGAGGCGTTCTACCTTTTATTGCACCGGAAGTCTTCCATACCTGCAAATTTACTCAGAAATCAGATGTGTATTCTTTTGGTATCATT